TCTGTGGCATCCCTGGTGTGAAGGCAGGTTTCACAGCACAGCTCAAGGCTAAGTGTGACAAAGGAAGCTTCCTCTGTGGCTCCAGCAAGGCAACGTGGGCATAAAGGTCTCGATGGGCTCAGTCAAGACTTTCCAGAGAAATGAACAACTTGCTCAATTTTTGAATGAAACAGCTTCTTCCACAAATAATTTTCAAACAGGAAATTGTAACTTGGAGCGACAGAGTTAAATGCTGGTCCGACAAGACCTGGGAGTACCGGGATTACTGGGGGAGAATGCACAGACTCACTGAGGCTCAGGACAGAATTGATGCCCTCACAGGAAATCTGATTGCCAAGGGTGTCTGTTGCTGAAAGCCTCTTCCATCTCTTCACCAAAGTGACCCACAAAGCACACGTTGTCACACATAAGATTTTCGTAGAAACATGTCTTGGATCTGTTCCAACATAGGAACAAATGTGTAAGACTCCCCTTTCTGTAAGCATCACACATGGATGCCATAATGTAAGCCTCATATTTTAAACATCCAGCTTCTTCGTCTGGTGTTAAGATTCATTAGGTTTTTTCTTGTATGCTCCTGGAGATGCCCCCTTTTGGCTGTGGCTTCACTGTTGCTAGCGTTGGGACATGAACTTGGAAATAGCCTAACCTGAACTAGACAGTAAGTTTCCTGCGTCAGTTACCGTCGTGTGCAAGTCCAACACTGGCTTTACCACCACATAAAGGAACATCCGCAACAGCGTGGGAGCACGGACAAGACAAAACCGGATCAGCATCAAGTAGGTACAAAGTACCTAATCTGTATTTCCCATTACAGGCACATTCCCAAAGAATTTTTAGAAAGAATTTTTTTTAAAATCCCTTATCTGAGTACTTGAAAACATTTAGGAAAAAAATGGAATGAAAACATATTTTTATGCATTTTTTAGATTTATTTATTTTTATTGGGAAGTCAGATATACAGAGAGGAGGAGAGACAGAGAGGAAGATCTTCCATCCAATGATTCACTCCCCAAGTGACTGCAACAGCTGGTGCTGCACCAATCCAAAGCCAGGAGCCAGGAACCTCCTCCAGGTCTCCCACACAGGTGCAGAGTACAAGGCTTTGGGCCGTCTTCAACTGCCTTCCCAGGCCACAAGCAGGGAGTTTGATGGGAAGTGGAGCTGTCAGGATTAGAACCGGTGCCCATATGGGATTCCAGCGCATTCAAGGCAAGGACTTTACCTGCTAGGCCACCATGCCAGGCCCCTTTATGCAAATTTTAAATGTTTATTTATTTGAAGGGCAAACAAAAAGCTAACGGTCTTTGACCTATTGGTTTACTTCCTTTACATAAAAAATTAAAAGAGCATCAGATAGACAAGAAGGTCTTTTATCTGTTGGTTCAGCTCCCAAAACTGCTGCAATGGCCCCATCTGGACCAGGCTGAAGCCAAGAGCCGGGAAACCCACCTGAGTCTCTGACATGAATGGCAGGGGTCCCGGGCACCTGGGCCAGCATCTGCTGCCTATCCAGGCATATTAGTGAGGTGGGTGGTGCTGGATGGTTAAACCAAACAGCTAGGACTTGAATTGACACTCCAGGTTGGGATGCTGGCATCCCAAGAAGTAAATTAACATGCTGCAACACGACAGACCCTGGTTAGGGCAGCTAAATGCCTGCAAACAGCCACGGCTGGACTGGGCCACACTGAAATCAGTATCTCGGAACTCAATCTGAATTTTCTGCTTAAGTGGCAGGGACTCAAGTACTTGAGCCATCAACCTGTTGCCTTCCAGAGCAGGCATTCACAGGAAGATGGAAGTAGCAGAGCCGGGGCTCAACTCAGGCCCTCTAGCAACGGGACTTCCCACGTGCCATCTTAATACATGAGTCAAACATCTGCCTTGTGTGTAAGGCTTTTTAATAGTTTCCACAAACTTTTGCCCTCCCCAGCTAGGCATATACAGTTCATACACTTTTACTGACAGCAAAGCACAATCCAAAATCATGCCTGGAGTTTGAATAGGGAGTTTAACAATGCCAAAAGTTCACCACTAGAAGCTGAGTACGTATTGAGAAGAGTGAAAGAGAACTCAAACAAGCATAAAGATGGGCAAAAAGAACTATTGCTGCTGAGAAAAAGTAGGGGGAAACCAAAGACAAACCGGAGACCGGGAGAGTGACATTTGTGGGAGTGCCTCGACCAGAGTGGGAGCCAGCTGGTCAAGCGGTAGAGCTGCATCAGGGCCAACTACGCTAGTGCTGTCCTGCTCGGGCTGCTGAGTTCATGGAGCAGATAAAACTGGAGATCCAGAACCCAAGTGTCTTTTGTTATTGTTGCTTTGCAGTGCCACTCCAGGAACCACTGTTGAATACGCTTGGCATTTTGCCAAACAATGAAGGAATGTTCCTAGAGGACAGCCCGAGTGGCACATAGCAAAAACATTATCACCATAGTTCTCTTGTTTGGCTACTCAGTTTCCATACACACTCACACTAACACACAGTGACTAGTCACAGGCGGCTTTTGAGTTTTGCAAATCTGAGTAGTCTGAATTGAAAAAGGCCAACTGTGGGACAGGCAGTGGTTAAGGGGACCTTGTGCGATAGCTTGATTGGTTTGCAAGTGCCATGACATCATATGAGCATCAGTTCGTGTCCCAGATGCTCCAATCCGGCTCTCTGCTTGTGGCCTGGGAAAGCAATGGAAGATGGTCCAGAGCCTTGAGACCCTGCATTCACTAGTGGGCACCCGGAAGTTCCTGGTTCCTGGCTCTGGATTGGTTCAGCTCTGGCCATAGTGGCCATTTAGGGAATGAACCAGCAGATGGAAGATCATTTCCCCTCTATATAAAACTGCCTAATCAAAAAAAAAAAAAAATACTGTATGGACTGCTCAGATCCCATAGTGGAGTGCCTGGTTTCAGTCCTCACTGTCCTTTTGATACAGTTTACCTTGGGAAAGCAACGAACAGTGGCTCAGCTAGTTGGGTCCCTGCCAAACCATGTGGGAGACCTGGGCTGGGTTCTAGGCTCTTTGCTTAGGTCTGGTCTGGCCCTGGCATTTGGGCCATTTAGAGGATCAGTCAATGTATGGAAGATCTCTGTGTCACTCTGCCTTTCAGACACATGAAAAGAATTAAAACAAACTAAAAAGAACCACCATTCTTATATAGATAAGAATTGTAGTGTAGTGACATCAGAGTGCCAGTTCAATTCCTGACTGTTCTAACGCACCTGGGAAGGCAGGTGAGGATGACTCAGCTCTAAGGCCCAGATGGAGTTCTGGGATCTAGCTTCCACTCAGGCCAAATCTGCCCATTGGGACTACCTGGGGAATGAACCAATGGATGCACAGTCTCTATCACTTTGTCTTCAAATAAAATAAATCTTTTTTAAAAATTAAAATACAATGGAACTCAAAGACTAAGCACCAAAAATAAAATCAATCCCATACAAAAATAGCATGTTGAATATATTAAGTTAAAATATATTAAATTAATCTTACCTGATTTTAATTACTGGAAAATATTACATTTGTGCTTATGCTAGATAATTAAGTCCTCCCTGGCTGGCTGAAACCATCTGGCTGCTTTGCATGGGCCAAGTTTATTTATTTATTTATTTTTTAAAAGATTTATTTTTATTATTTTTTTATTGGAAAGGCGGATATACAGAGAGGAGAGACAGAGAGGAAGATCTTCCATCCGATGATTTACTCCCCAAGTGAGCGCAACGGGCCGATACTATGCCAACCCAAAGCCAGGAGCCTCTTCCGGGTCTCCCACGCGGGTGCAGGTTCCCAAAGCCTTGGCCCGTCCTTGACTGCTTTCCCAGGCCACAGGGAGGGAGCTGGAAGGGAAGCGGGGTTGCCGGGATTAGAACCGGTGCCCATATAGGATCCCGGGCATGCAAAGCGAGGACCTTTAACCACTTGCGCCACCGCGCCGGGCCCGGGCCAAGTTTATTAATACCCAACAAACTTCACTTCGGTGAAATGGTTCTTCAAATGAGCATCTTCTTAAAGTTTTTTTTTATCTTTTTTCTTAAAAATGTATTTGTTTTGAAAGTAGTCAGAGTTACAGTGAGAGAGAGAGAGAGGGAGAGAGAGAAAGAGAGGAAGAGAAAGAGAGAGAGAATATCTTCTATCTGTTTGGTCACTCCCCAAATGGCCATAGCAGGCAGGTCAGCCCAAGGACTTGGCCTATCCTCCAGGGAGCCAATCAGAAATGGTGCATTGGGAAACAACCCTCTCCCCATGGGGGATGCCAGTGTTGTACATTACAGTTTAATGCACAATGCCGACCCAAGGTGATGAGCCTTCATTCTGCTAGATATCCGGGAACGGCTAACCACCAACCCATGTCTCCCTACCTCCTCGGCGACAATCCATTTGGTAGCCCAGAGGCTGACTTAGACAATGTAGGTTTCTTTTCTGTCATTTCCCCTACTTCTCCCTCTTCAACACTTTTTATTTTTCTTAATATAAACATTTATGGCTCCTAGTCAGCATGGAACACATACTGACGGCATAAATCAGTTTCATAAAGTACCTCCACAAGAATCCATACAGTAAGGCGTGCAGTAGAGCATGGAGCACTGAGCTGCTAGTTAGGATAAAATCCAGCTTCTGTTCCCAACTCCGACCTCTTGGGGTTCTGTAAGTCTGAGGACCCTGTTTCTCTAACTGGTCAGAAAGAGGTAGGGCTGATTACTTCAATTTTAACTATCATGAAATCCTCAAAATGTCCATATCAACTTAAAACATTTTTCCTGGAATAAAAAATGGAATCCGCTACATTTATGAAATGCATTTTCTAAAACTTCTGCTTCAAGTATATAGTTTCTGTAGTGGTTTCAATGCAAAGTTGTTTCTTAGAGCATGCGAGTGTGAAAGCCACCGATGTGGGTAATTTCCTAAAATCCGAGGTAGTTTAGATGGTAATAGATTCATCTTTTCTAAAATTATTCCAAGACCAGTGAATCATAAATATACAATCAAAATTTAATATGGACATTTTAAAATCAAATCTAAAATTTATTTGCTTCAATACCCTGCTTCCTATTAGGCATTCTCACATTCATCTTTGCCTTCAAAATGTAAAAGCAAACATCAGAGGTATGTTACAGTTGTTTAAAAAAAAAAAGACTTCCTTCACTTATTTGATCATAAGCATTCCAAAATAAAAATCAAAACTGCACTTACACCATTCCACTTCCTTATGCACATTCTCTACAGATATCACACATTTTAGCATTAAAAGAAGAGTCAGAAGCAAGCCAAACGATAGGGAATGATGGCTGTACTTTTGTCTGCAGGTCGTCTTTAACCTACCAGCTTTCCACTCAGAGCACAAGGGGCTTAACTCTTCCAATGTCTGAAATAATATTAAGGTACTTTAGTATTAGGAAATTTTGTTCACATTAGGCACACTGAAGCCTAAACATATCACAATATTTTTTCAGCTGTAATTTCACAACACAAAAAGGCAATGGCAACAGTTCCATTGCTTTTCAAGGTAGAAAAGTAAAGCAATGGTTGTGTAAAAATATAGCACCACTACGTCCATAAATGAGTTCATTTTAACATGTGAAAATTATGTAACACATCTTTTTTTTTCAAATAATCTATTTTCACACTTGTAAGTTCAAGTTACATAAATTGGTATATTAAGTTTTTCTTCTAATTAATTTAGTACTGACATTACGTTGTTTGACAAAATAAGGAACATTTTCTCAATAGTGAATAGCGCATTGTGGAAAAGAGAAGTTATTCAACATTAAGCAACTTTACTCCATATGTAAGTTTCCCCCAAAGTCATATTACTATTATTATGTTAAAAACACAATCTTGTCAAGCTGTGAATGTATTTGATAAAAACATTTTGATCTTCTAGTTCTGTTCACTCCTTGGTTAAGCTTCTTCAGCAACCCTATTGGTCCCTCTGAGGGTAAGAGACAAGGGCATACATCAATCAGGTCACAGACACCAGATCTGAAAGCACCCTCTTCACTCATGCTAACAGGAACTGTATCACCACGTTAGACTTCATGATTGAGGTCTGAATTTTACATATTGAGCACATGTATGTTTGATGTGTGTATATACATATTTTCAGTGAATATTAATATTCAATGAATAAGCGCTTAGGACCAGCACACTGACTGAACTTCATATGGTTTATTTAAATGATTGCTGGTTCCAGATAATCAAAACCCACAAATTATATGGCAGCCTCTGTAAGACACATATAGTTCTTTAAAAGATAGTACTAAAATTATCACATAACGGTAGAATATAGCTTTTAAAAATACAAATGACATTCGTAGCATAAGGCTCAGTGGTTGAGTAATTAGCAAATTAAAGAAAACCATCAGAGATTTTGAAAAGCAAAGCATGTCTCCTCTTAAGATTTTATTCTTTCCTTTCTAAAAATGGCTCATTAAAAGACATTAAAATGTGAACAAAAGTTCCTGAAATTCCTAGAAAAAGTATTAAACTTCCATAACACTGATTTCAGAGTATCACAGCAAGCTGAAAATTAATCTATTGGTGGCCAGAAGATATAACTGCTCATTTTTAGAGAAATTTATTACATTTGAAACAATAAAGCAGAATTCTCAAAAGTTTACTCATTAAATATAGTTTAATTCTTACAAATCTCCTTTTGAAAATGTAATTTTTATATGGTGTAGCCTCAGAAGTTTGAATTCAAAATGAAATATGAAGGCAAAAGTCAGGGAAATTACATCAGATGCTTTGTCAATTCCCTGTACAAATAAGTACACACTCTTGTGATACAGTAGGAAAAAAGTGATTCTAAATACATTCAAGTAAATGCAGAAAAATACATTACTATTTGAGGCAGATCATGCTAAAATATAGTTTACAATGATCAGTTTGCATTATAAGATGGTTAATGATGCATTTTAAACCAATGAAACCAGGGCAAGTATAATTCGCAGCATTTGCTCTGTCTTTTGTACTTAATATTAGTTCATCCTATGAAAAGCAAATAAAATTGGAAAAAGCCAATGACCTGATCTTCCCCTTTATGCTTATATCTTCTCAGCTGGTCATACTAAATAAATAAGTACAGCATCAAGATTTTTTACATATTCAAGTGAAGACCAATGACTTGGAATGGCAGCCTGTCTGCCAAGCGGAACCCAACAGATACACTTGCAGTTACAGTCAACTCAATTTTAAAATAACACAGAGATTTACAAGTCAAAATAAACATGTGATTTGAAAGTTCTGTTACTGAAGATAACTTAGTTGATCTGTTTTTTTTTATTTGTTTGTTTGTTTTTCTCTTTGAGATTGCTAAGAGTTGAATCTTTAAAAACCTGAAGAGGAACTGGTAAGAGGAAAAAAAAATCCTCAGTGCTTTAAAAAACTCAACTGGTTCGGAGTCCACACAGTTACTATGTTGGCTGGCATGGAAAACCGTGTTTTCTGTCACAGAACCATTTCCTTCAAGCCATCTATACAACGATGTCAATCAGCTCCTCCGTGACTAAAACTGAAGTAATCCTTCAAAAACAGGAGCAGGACACCTCACCCAAAAAGATCTTTTAAATCATTGCTGCCTGAACTGCTGTTAGTCATCGTAGTTGGCGGCTGAGCAAAGTTCTGTGGGTTAAAGAAAGGATTGCCCTGCATACCAAAGGCAGGTTGTCCTACCATGTTCATCTGTGTCCCCATTACTGCACTACCCATACCTGGAGAAACTTGAGGAGGAGCGAACTGATTAAGCCACTGATTTGGTTTCTGTTGTGATAGCTGGTTCATACTAACTTTGGGTTTCTGAGGGCCAAAGAGATTGTTAAGGGCAGACATATCTGTGGGTCTCTGTTGGGTCTGTTTCACCCCAGCAGCAAGTGGGACACTCAAGTCAGCGAGACCTGTAAAGGCGGCAGGTGGTCCCGCAGCCATCTTGGTCGCTCCAGCAGTGCTTGAATGACTGAAGAAGTTCTGGTTTGGATTAACTGGCATGCCGAATCCCGAAGTCTGAAAGCCCATGTTGGCGTTTAGGCCGTTTGTCAAATTTCGCTTTGTATTATCAATCGGTGTAGAAAACAGCATGCCCAGGCCCGAGGAAGGAACAGAGGTGAAGGAACTTGAAGCAGGAAGTTTAGGAGTGCCAACAGAAAGGCTGGTCAAAGACGACATGTTATCCATCAACGTGTCTGTCAAGTCCTTAGTCTGAAAAATATGAGAGAATCACTGCCTCCAAGAAACCCAAATTACTTTAGCGAACACTTGACAGATGAAAACATAAAGGAAAATTTAAAACTGAGGTGATCATACCACCCTAAGGAAGCAATCCACGCTCTAAAGGGCAAATACAGCTTGCCTCCTATTTCTGCATGGTCTTTACAGATGAACATTTGCAATTAATGTCATGATAGGAAACATTAACCACAAAATATAGTTAATCAAAATGTTCTTTCTCCAAAACAGAGCTGCTTTCTTCTCTCTAGTATTTGTATTATAAAAAGATGCTGCAGTATTTTTAGATTTTGAATTCCATCAAAATTTTGTTGGAATTTGTTTTCTCCATTCTTCCATGAGCATTCTTGAAAATATTCAGAGAAAACAAGTACTAGAGATAAACTGTATGGATTTCAAAACTTTCTGCACCAAAATAAGCTCCATTTTTCCCACAAACTTTGCCTCTTGGCCTGCAAATATTTTTTTCTTTCCTTTTATCCCAGAAGAATTTTACTGATTAGGAAGTAACAAAAATAGTTTAAAGGCAGTATTTAAGATGAAGACATTTCTGAATTCAGTAGGATTACAAACTTTCTCAGGAAGGGCATTGCTGCCATGGCACTAGCACCTGAGTACTTGGAACATAAGATAAAAAAACACTGGCTATGTACATCCTAAATCAAGCTACAATCCTACCTGGAACTGAAAAGACAAAAACAGAAAATTACTTCTACATAAAAAACACTTAAGAGCATAAATGTAAGACTCCTGATCACTTCTCTGTGAACAAAGCTGTATTAGTACTATGAGCACTAACCTTAAAAAAGCCCTCTTACATTCATCAAGTTTGTTCTTGGTCACAAGCACTGTTATGAAACATTATATACATCAGGCAGGTTACAGAGGAACTGTCAGGAAATCCTTTCTGCCTATGCTTCTTAGGAATTACAAATCAGTTTTTGAAATACAGGTCTATGTAAACTACTGTGAGACTAATTGATTATCTAACTCCTCAACAGTTCTATACTTGAACTTATGCAGGAGAAATGAACTCTGACCTGCTTGACCGGAGCAACAGGTGTATGCACCTGGGGTTTAAGGGGCTGCTGGCTTTTTAACTTCTGTGCTTGCTCTTGTTCTTTTGCTAATTTCTGTTTTTCTTCAAGTGTAAGTGATACCTTTAAACAAGATAAAGCAAAATAAGCAACATTATAATTCCACTGTAAAACAAAACATTATAAAACAAAAGTGCCTTTTTGAGTAAAACATATCTTGGTATTTTAACAATACTATTTCAATGTAAAGCAAACTATGCCTGCCATGAATAAAATTACACTTGAAATTACTATAAGATTTAACTAAAGATAAAAGATAGCAGGATGTGTGCTAAAATATTTCTAGTATAAAAACAAGTATTATTTTAAAACCTTAATTCATTAGTTATTAAGTCACTTTATTCTAAAAAAAAAAACGAGAAATCGAATCTCAAAAATTATCTTAGGAACTCATACAAAGCTAAAACAAACAAACAAATTCTACTGTTAATGTCTGCATTAGATTCATTATTTGTCTTTTAAAAGTTTTATAAACTAAAACTCACAATATATTTTTGTAATTCTGTAAACTACCACGTTGAGTAGTCCCTTGGTCTCATATTTCCAGATGAATACAATAATGTTCTCAGCAGAATGTGTGTAAGTACATGTGTGTATATACACACACACACACATGCGCACACACAGATACATGTATTATATACATATACACATATGTACATGTAATATATAATTATCTATGTGTGTATGTATGTATATAATGTGTACATATAATGCTAACCAAGGAACCAAGGTTAAGCCACTGCCTGTGAGCCCAGCATCCCATAAGGGTGCCAGTTTCCATTTCCATCCCCGCTCCTTGCTGGTGCACCTGAGAAAGCAGCAGAAAATGATCCAACTGCTTGGGCCCGTGTACCTAGCAGGGAGACCCAGACGCAGCTCTTGGCTTCGGCCTGTCCCAGCCAGGGCTTTTTGAGCCATTTGAGGAAAGAATCAGAACATGGTCTATCTCCCTTTCTATTTCCCACTCCTTCTGTCTGTATTTCTGTCTCCAAATAAAGAAATATAAAGTCATCAAAAGCTTAATAGGAAAATACCATTTTACAGTTTTACTATTCAAAATCAGAGGGAGAGAAAAATATTAAGAAGAAACAAATAAAAGAATCCATTCAGATCTTCCAGCTACTAGAAAGACAGAATCAAGCGTATTCAAAGTCCTGCTTGCAGCACTGTTGAGTCCCTCATCAGTCACTTGTCAATGTTATTACCTCGATGAAACGAGCCCCAAGGGGTGCATCATCATTTCCCCACCAACCTCCCTCCCCACAAAAATAAAAGACACAAACATAATCAAAATCAAATTGAGAACCATGTTATCTGACATGGTTCAAAAGTATCAGGGTTAAAAATCTGATTGCCCATAAAATTTAAATTTGTCAAAATTTAAATTTGTCAAGCTAGCAAATGAAAAGAAAAAAGCATAGGTTAGCTGAATGAGCAGGACAGAATTCAATATAGTGAAGAGCCAGCAAAAATAATCAGAGAGCTCACAAGGCAGACAGCCTGCACAAGTGCACAGCGGACGCCACCCCGTGGGGACGGGGCAGAGCTGAGACACAGGACTTGTCACTGCAAGAGTACAGGAGAAAAGACAAGCGAGGCAGATGATGCCTGTGGGAGGACGAGTGGGAAAGGAAGCGAAGGTTGTCAAGCATGTTTATTCTCAACATGTTTCATCTATAAGCATTTCATAATCATAGACTGTTTCTTATTAAGATATTAAACGGCATTTACCAACAAAAAGTATGTAGCTTATAGGAAGCCCAACAACAGAAATAAAAAATACTAAAAAAAGAATAAGGAAACTAACTTTTTTATGTTTATTCTGTAATGTGTCATCTTTATTTTCTGATTCACCACCAGTCAGAAGGTCTGCTCCAATATTGTTAAACACCTTGTCAATCTGCTGAAATTAAGAAAAAGAAAATTAGTTGTTTGAATAGACTTGAACAGAATTGTGATTTTAATGCCCAAAATTAAGGTTCTCCAAGTGAAGTACATTGTCAAAGAATTTCAACAAAATTAAAATATCTTACCTGATTCCCAATATTTGCAACTTTTGATTCCTCAGAAGCATTTCCTAAGTCCAAAGATCTGGAAGAAAATTGAGTTATAACAAAAATAAAGGTAAATTTTAAGACACTTACATTAAAAACTGTTATCCATATGAAAGTTATTAGACCCCAAAATCAACCGAAACTTCCTTAAGGAAAGTCATAATCCTTTCCATTTATTTTGTATTATTAATGTCTGCTTGCTCAACAAGCAGAGAGCGACTGGAGAATTTATTCAGAGAATCATGGTGCCTGTTGCCAAAAGGTTAACCAATTTAACCACTGCGCCAAGAATGAGGAGCTTAATGTGATTAGATTTAGAATCCATGACACTGAAAATGAATGGTAAAGTCACTGTTTAACAAGCTAGATTTTTCTTAAAAATTAGGCAGGCTTTAGATAAAGAAAAAGGAAGAGTTGATTCCCCCTCATCAAAACTTTGTTTCAACCCTTAAAAGACATTTAAAAGTTATTTTTCTGGAATTCTATGTGAAGATGGTCAACCTTGTCAGGCATGCTGCTCACAGAACAGCCAAAGCACAGGAAGGGCCATTTCACCTGCTTCTTCAGGGTGTGTTTTTGTTTCTGGAGAGCCTGCATTCTACATCAGGGTGGAGGCTAAAGAGTTTCTATTGTGAGCTCTGCTCACGAACGCTAGCCATTTACTGGTTTCCAGGCATTTTCTGGTTCAAGATTAAATGTCATTTGCTAACCTAAATTCATTTATTTGCCCTGGAGCAAAGATAACAGCAGAGTTCAGATTTTAACAAACTGGCACTAACCGGTGAATAATTTCCACCTTTTCCTTGTTTAAGGCCTGCTGTTTCGTAATTAAAATGTCTCTAAAAAGAAAGTGAAGTGACTGCTTGGCACTACGTGTGAAGTGAATGCTCTAAAAGCGTTTCTGGAATTAGAGGAAGAGAAAGGGGAAAACTGAAACATCCTGGGTTTACAGATTGGAAAGCATTTTTAAGTGGTATTCTAGGTGTTCGGCAACCACTATGACAGTGGCTAAGCTGGCAAGGAATTTTTCTCAGAAACGGAAGTTTGCTTTTGTACTCAGATGTTACACTACACTTTTAGTAACATGCTATTTAACCAGAATTAACTTATTAAAATGTTTTTATAGGTTGAAAATCTTAAAAAAAGTTAAAGTCCAGCAATTATTTATTCTATATTCTAGGTTAATGATGAGATCATTTTAATCTCACTTGGACATGGTGCAATTCATTTGCAACATACTTACTTCTGCTGTTCTTGCATTATATGAAGTTGCTCCAGTTTAGTCTTATGTTCAGATTCCAATCTACTAAGCATTTCTTTTATAACAGAAATGAAAGAATTGAACTGTGGAATAAGGAATTGATACAATTATAACATTTCAAATTATTGGCAAATGTAATCAAGTAAAATAATTCATCATCATCTCTATTCATACCACTGGATTAAGATCCTTTCAAAGTCAATGTCACAAAAAGAATAATATATTTAAACTCAGCATAAATAGGAAGCTTTCAAAATATATCTGTATTCTGGCAACAAAACAATTATGTTTTTAAGTTCCAGAAAACATGTCTCCAGAAGTTTTATACCCTGGATTATATAAGAGCTGTTGTTTAAGGGTCCAAGAAGTTAATTTTTCTAGGACAATCCAAAACTGAACATCTGAATTTATGCCCATCTAGAAATAATACATTTGGTAATGCACAGGAAACTTTTATTTAAATTGTCATAAAACACTACATGTCTCACTAGAATAATTCTGTTTCCTGAAAAGTTGGTAAAATGCTACATGAATATAATTCAATTTTCAAGTAATGAGATTTCACAAAGTATATCAACATATCTTAGCATAATTTAAAGTCTGGCTAGACTTTGGTTAATCGTTAATACCTCTCATGGCACTTCAGGATCATCAGAAATATTTTATTTCAAGACCACCAGGTGGTGTAATAAAGACTAGAAAACTGCTTTGTTCTCCTCTCTCCAAATCCTAACTACATCTTTATGCTGGGTACTCATAAATATGCTATTTTATCAATCCTTACTACTCTTCAAAGTAGATCTATTACCTTTATTTTACAAATAAGGAAACAAGCGACAAAAGAACTCACTTGGGGATACTAAAAGGATAAAGGCCAATTGCCACAGAACTGACAACAGCACCGGCCTGCTCTCCTCTGCTTACTGCGCTGGAGCACGCTTTATCAGCAGCTTCTACATCTTACCATGAGAACGAAGACAGTTCCTTAGTTATTTGTCATACCCTTCTGCTAACCAGGCTTTTAAATATTTATGTTAGGATATAATACAGTCAGAAAAAATTATTTGTATAAGGGCACAGTTCAAAAAATTCACACACCAAATACACCCAGGGTGACTAGCAACAAGACAGAGAAACAGAATTTTATCTGCACCTCAAAAGCTTCCTTGTGCTCACTCTCGCAGTTTTTCCCTATGCATAAACACGATTCCATTAGGTAGCATGGATTCGTTCAGACTGTTTTGTATTTCATGTAAGCAGACTCATTCAGTAAGTCCTCTTCTATGCATGCTTCCTGTGCTCAAGACTGACCCTGGCATGTAGTTGTTCAGAAGAGTTAACATTGGGCTTGAACCGCTACCATCGGGGGGCGTGGAGGGGGAAATACCCGCTTACCAGGGTTGGCTTGTGGCTGGTGTCTGTGAACCTAAATTTCAGGAAAGTTCCGAGTATCAACTGGGAACAGTAGTTCACTGTGTCTAAATGGCACAAAGAGTGCATTCTATGCTGGCCACCTGCTTTCCTGTGTGAGTCTGGAATTTGAGTACATGCCAGACAGAGGGTGCTACTTCATTAGCCCTCAACTAAACCTCTAGGGATTGAGTTTCTAATGAGTGTCCAAGGTTGGCAACATTTGACATTACTGTCATAACTTACTACTTGGGATTCCATGGAAGTTTCTGGAAGCTCATGTCTGGTTTCTCCCAGACACTGAAAGAGTCAGGGAAAGTAGGTAGGGGAAAAAACAGACACACAGATATTTGCCATGCTGGTTTACTCCCCTACTGATGACCAGGTCAAGGCAAGGCTGCAGCCAGGAGCTGGGAACACCATCTTGGTCTCCCATATGGGAAGCATGGTTCAAATACTTGAGAAGCTCGATCAGTGAGAAGCTCGATGGGAAACAGAGCATCTGGGTCTCAGAACCAGCACTTTGATAGGGGATGCTGTCATCAGCTGCAGTTAACACACTACCTCAATGCCAGCTCCCAGACTTGCCTTATATTCATTAACCACAATAAATCATAGCCATGGCAATGACTATATGCTAAGTCCTGAGAGTCCTCCTACTGAATGTCATTCCATTTGGGAGTGATCTTAGGAAACCCCACAAATACAAGTTACAGATTATTCAGTGTGATTGCTACATGACAACTGCTAGTTTAGTCAAAATTCTAAAAATGCATTTTCCTGAGTTACTTTTTAAATTTAATGTAACAGACTCAATTTATTTCAAATCAGAAGTTGATTTTTCTAGCATAATCCAAAACTGACAGAGAAGAGTCTTCATCAGGAACTTTGATCATGAAATAAACAGGAAAGCAGATCACATCCATGCTAAGCTACCGTGAAACAGAAGACGGGAGTGAAAGGACGTCTGTTCACAAAAAAAGGTCCTAAAGAACAAATCATAAGGCTGGGGCGGGGGGGAAATCACAAGATTTCCAGTGGCATTATATTGTTACAAAATATGTTTTTAGAAAAATTCAAAAAAAATTAAAAATCAGAAATAGAAGAATTAAGAACAGAAACAACCAAAAGTTCAGGGGTGTTCGAGGCCTTTTGTCCTACTTCTTTTAAGTTTTTACTGTCACTCTCACGCCCAACCCTGCTATCCAAGATAGGAAGAAACTGTCAAGCCCCAAACCGAAAGCCAAGGACAAATTTCCGGAGACTTACTCTACTACTTCAGAGGAGATGCTGGCTCTGATTAATTCTAGATTTCTCACTTCCAAAGCTCCACTCAGCAATCTACCCAGTGCCAAAAGCTCTCCTACTGAACTTCAGTCTATAAACAAAAACGGCTTTTCATTATTTTGTCACTCACATTTTCTCTCTTCTGGCCTTAATGACTATGGTTACAAAGAAAACTAAACTAACAACCAGCCTTTGAGAAGTTTTTAATCTTGAGGAATACGTTTATAGCTACTACAACAGGGTATACAAAGAGCAGTCTGTGACAGTCACTGAACACACAAACCATTTACTCAAACATTTAGCACGTCCTGGAAGTTCAACAACCAGACAAAGCACTTAAATCTACCCATTCTCATCTCAAGTATCCTTCTCCCATTATTCTTCTATTGTGTTCTACATAACTTACAGTCCAATTAGATTATCCCTTGCCTATGGCAGGCAGTCCTGGAACAATGCCCAACTATTTCCTCCTCTTTGTCATCCACTAAAAGACAGGAATTAACCCTATCTTTAAGGGCAGGTAGGACCTGTCAGTTAGTTCTGCGATCAACAATAGAATATGGCAAAGATAACACAGAATCATTTCCTTGAATCTATTACAATGTGCGAGAGGACCATGCAGTGAGGGACAGTGGCATTCAGCTGAGAGCTAAGGACACAAAGCATTCAGTCCAACAACCCAAAAAAGCGACCAAGGCCGGCCCTCAACCCACTAGGCCAAGAGGAACTGAATCCTGCCCACAACCATGTGCATGAGCTCAGAAACAATCATTCCTCTATGGACCTGCATAGGAATCCCCACACCCTAATGCTCACTGAGGGAACCCTGAGCACAGAACCCAGTTAAACTGTGTGCCCTGGCTCATCTGACTACAGAAATGACATAAAAACATATGTATTTTGCTTTAAACTGCTAGGTTTGGAGTCATTTTTTATGCAGTAAAAATAATGGATACACTGTCCAAATATACTCTGTAAGTTCACCCCAAATTTAAATGTTCTCAGCCCTAAATTTAAAATGATCAGAATCCCATACATCTTTGAACATCCTTCTCATTACTATCTCCACATGAGGTCTTCAAAAATTTGCCCTTACACATCACACACTTTATTCATTCAACTGTGGCATGTATTTCTTTGTTTTAATACTTCATATGTAATATATTTGTATATTTAAGGTCAAGACAACAGCAAGTAAAATTAATTGAATAAAGCCCCCAATACTCTTACCTGATTAAGATTAAGATTGTTTTCAATACTTAGGGGAATCAGATGAGGCAATACTTTCCCAGCCAGTTGCTCTTTGGTGATTCCCAACTTTTTATGTGTAAAAGTACATTTGTAAATCCCTGATAGGAAAGAAAGTGACAAATTGTATAGGTTAAATTAACAGAAGTCATGAAAACAGTATATCTACATAAAATCTTTCAATAAGGTTTCACATGTAAGGTTCAATGCAGTACAGATTTTTCTTATTGAATTCTTACATACAGATGTTCTTATAAACAGATCAGAATGTCAGCCTTATCTAGACTTACATACCATGACATATTTGATACTGAGTTTATGGTGCATGCAGTGATAAATACAACTAACCAGGACCAGATTCAGTTCTTAGCATAACAGCAATAAGGTCACAGAAAACGTCCCTTTATCCTAAATACACATAAATACACGTTGCAGGTCTTGCACACAAACCCAAGGATTTGTTCCCAAGTTGTATATATGAAAGTACAGTGAGTATTCATTTCTTCAGGATATCAGATTTGACACAAATTTAACAGCACACAATCCTTTCCTGAGTATCCTATCTAACCTGTGTGCCATATATATTTTCTAAAGTCTTTGGTAAACTGAACTCAGGTTTTCCTAGCTGAATATTCTATGTTCTGCATATAATTCAAAGTCTGAAAACACACCCATACCGACTATTCTGATAATGTCCACAAGGATTATATATCTAGTAAATGGCTATTTTCTGAACACTACGCTCATTACTTCCCCTTTGTTTCACTGAATTCTCATATTTGTCTCAATAAATCCTCATTTACTACATGAAGAAACTAAAAAGTTACTCCAGGAACTGAGCAAGTCAAGATTTGAGCCAGGGTTGTTTCTATACCAAACTCTTACTCAACAAGTCAAACCTTCCTGAGCATAAAAGATTCATATCACACCACTGCATCTACGCCTGTGTCTATAGAGCCCACAGTCAGCACTTGCTAACCATTTCTACAAATATTTACATTGAGTTTTGTACACAGACTATGCGCAGAGATGTCAAGAATAAACAAATGAGTAATATACTTTAAAAGTTAGTAAAAAATGAATTTGTTAATGTGCCCATAATTCTACAGATGTCTGTTTCAACAGTACAGCAGATCCCTGGCATTTCCAGGTTAGACTCCAATAATTTTCAGTATTTAGAAACAACTGTAGAGCTTTTTGGCAGAGTATTTTATAATTACAGTAGTAATACAGAATGTGCTATAAGGCTAAGATGCTTCTACAGTGCATCATTTAGCAGTGAAACACATTGGTTAAGATTGACATAGCTAAACTTAAAAACTGGTTCTTCCTGTTATCAGTTGTATGATCCTAAACAACTTTTCTGACTCTCAGCTTCCTTGCTGTAAACAGAAGTAACACATCTATACTTCACTGAACTTGGGGGAGGACAATACAGAGAAAATTCTTTGCCTCTCATAAACTGAATATCAAACCAAACCCAAATAGAGATTTACTGCCAGATCAGAATCAGCATTGCAAGTAGCTCTGTTCGCTTTTTTTTTAACCTTCTACCATCTCAGAGGAAATATACTGTGATATTTGTAATACTAGGATTGTAAAATATCTTCCTCCTTTGGAAATGTCACGGTTTCAATTTTTAGCCTAGATTTGTTGACTCTGAATGCTACACACATGAGAGTATAATGGTTCTATAGTTTGGAAGACTGATTTGCATGACTGTAAAATGATAAAGTAGCATCAAGTGACAGTAAGTTTTTGGCTACCTAAAATTCCCATGAGGACTGCAGGCTCCTTGGATGGAATTTGTTGTAAGAAGGGTAGAATATCATCAAGCACAAACCACTTATCCAAGTATTCCAAAATCTTTCCTAAGCACACTAATGAATTTACACGGACCTATTAAAAGAGGTAAATTGTATTAGTCACTTAAGTCTTTGTAATCCAGAACATAATATTTAAATGTAAATCTAATTTCCATATACAAGACACACTTACTTACCAACTTTACCTACTTATTTAGCTAAGAATTCATGATTATTTATCCAGGACATATAGAGTCAGCTAAACATAAGAAATGGCTTCAATTTTGTAACATTTATTTATTTTAAGATTTGTTTGAAAGGCAGTATTAGAGAGAGAATCTTCCTTCCCCTGGCTCATTTCCTATTTGGCCGCGATGGCTGCAATGGCTGGTGCTAGATCAGGTCACAGTCAGGAATCTAGAATATCTCCAGATCTTCCACTTGGGTGCAGCAGCTGATGTGCGAGACCCCCTAGCTTTGTTTTCTGAGGAACATTGGCAGGGAGCTGGATTCCAAGTGGAGCAAAGGCACCCAGAACCAGTGCCCACATAGGATGCCAGCATGGCAGGTGGTGGTCACATTAAGCCACGAAATTGACCTCAGTTTTGTAACTTTTTTAAAAGATCAGTTCTTACTACTTTTATTAGAAAAGCAGATTTACAAAGAGGAGTGACAGAAACATTTTTCATCCACTGGTTCACTCCTAATTTGGCTGCAACGGCCAGAGCTGAACTGAAGTGAAGCTAGTAGGCAGGAGCTTCTTTCGGGTCTCCCATGTGGGTGCAGGGTCCAAAGGCTTTGGGCCATCCCCCACTGCTTTCCCAGGCCACAAGCAGGGAGCTGGATGGGAAGTGAAGAAGCCAAGACACGAACCAACACCCATATGACATGCCAGCACTCACAGGTGGAAGATTCACCAATGGAGCCATCACACTAGTTCCAATTTTGTAACATTTTTAGGTGAAGAAATTATAATCTATAAAGTTTTTACTGTATATATATTTAGTAAAAACACCTTAAGGAGAATACTTGAATTATAAAAATGACCATATTCTTCCTGCCAAGTAATACTTTTATCAAATTCCAGTATTTTGATGTAACTTGTGTTAAAATATTCTTAAGTATTTTTTACAATTACAGCATATCTATATTTGTCTTTATACAAAGTTTATATGGAAATATAAATATATGTAAATACATATCTTTAGAAACATCTTTAAATAAACAAAACACATATCTTTAACACTATTATTACTGAACCCTAATATCTAGAAGATCTTAATCAAAATTATTCACTCGACTGCTTTTGATAAATATGTCACACATTAGTTTTATGAAATCTCAATTAAAAAAAAAAACTAAGAAAAGCAGAAATTAATTTAGTTGATTAAGAAGTGCCATCCCAAAGGGGTTGGTATGTGTTTCAGCTGCTCTGCTTCTAACCCATCTCCCTGTTAATGGCCTGGGACAGCAGATGCTCCAAGTGCTTGAGTCCCAGGAAACCAAGTGGGAGAGCGGACGAAGCTCCTGCTTGCCAGCTTAGGTCTGCGCCACCACCAGCCAGTGCAGCTATCTGGGGGAGCTAACTAACAGACGAAGATATCTCTTTGTTTCTTCCTCTCTCTCTCTGTAATTCACACTTTGAAAATAAATTAATAAATCTTAAAAAAAAAGTTCAAAGTTCTTGTTTTCACTTTATGCTTATCATTTCAACGCATTTTTTTCTACTTTGGAATTATGCTTTTCACCTCAGTTTGCCTACCAATAAACACGAACTAAAATGGCTTACGTGGACATAAGGTAAAAATGTGCCATTTAAGTAATTTCATTAAATCATTAGTATTTTTATTTAAATTCACATTACATTAACAACAGATGGGCTCTCCAAAAGAACCAGTATTATAAAATGCAAAAGTAATATTATGCCCATCATTGAACATCAGTGTAAAGAACAGAACCCTAAAGGAAAACCCATCTCTTCTAAAGCCGCCTTGACAAGAACAGTCAATGTAAACTCCACGTGTGGCATCCCTATGTTACTGCAACACAATACACTCAGTGTTAAAAGGCTGGGGACATTCATTGTTCCTGATGTCAGGAAACAAAAACTGTTATTCTACACTCCTTGACTAACAACTAATTTCGTATAAATTTTATATTAAAAAAAAAGCAACTACCCTTGGTCTACCTTTTTTTTGCAGTGATTTTATTCATATTAATTTGCTTTAATGTACTCTTTACTTCTTCTGAAGGGAACAAGTAAGTTAGGAGTAAGAAATTTAGAAACAAATGGCCAAAATCAATAGCAATTTATAAAAGGAAACCGTTCCTTCTAAACCATGTTAAACTCTCATCATTATTTTAAAACAACAAAAGAAATTTCAAGCTAGAACAAAAAGGATTAGGAAAAATATTAGTTTTTTTGTATTAAAACACTCAAATGATTATATTTATGTTACCTTTAGTCAAGACAAAATATATGAACAATCTATAAAAGTGTTATTAGATCATACAAAAATGATTTTACCACTGAGAAATAAAACATAAAAATTAATATGCAACCACTTACAGCAAGGGAAGATGTTTGCAGACAGGCGTTTTTAATTCTTGGTATCAAAGCATTTTTCATGGATGGGTAGTCAATGAGATTTGCAAAGGTTGGAATGATGTTGAGACATAACTCCTATTAAGAAAATAAGTTGGATCAATCCCAGGGAAACACTGTCTTATCCTTTTCCTTACACAGTAAATAAATGTTTTAGATTTGCAGAGCTAATTTGTCATTTAGCTTGAAATAAACTTTCACATATGTTCTATTATTTGACCCTTTAAGTAACTTGTTGAAAAAATGAACAGCTATTACGTTTCTATTTTCAAGATAGAGAAATGGCTCAGAAGACCTTACTCTCTATTACAGCAGTTTATTACAGCTAGTCCATGGTATTCAAAACTCTCCGGCCTCATTTCTTTCCCTGCTAACACAAGTCCTCATTTATTTTAAAAAACAGCAACATGTAACTTCTGTATCTTTCACATGAGAGAAAATCAAGTACGAAAACAAGTAAAGTCCCCTTAAGGGGTTTCTCAGCTGTTTAATATACACATGATGTAATACAAATATTAAAAAAAAAAAAAAACTGCAACTTGACAGTGCCGGACAGTCCCAGTCAGAGCAGGAGGCGACAAGCAAGCGGATCCTGAGTTCCGGTTACTAAGCTCCGTAACTAAGGGAGAGAGAGCGCTCTAGGAGGAGACAAGAACTGAAGGAACAGGAAACGGAAAACAAAACCTCCAGGAAAGCTAACGGGCAAATTCTCAGAACGACAGCCTCTTGCTTTACACATGATAACTGGTGTGATGGCAGGGATGAAAAACAACTTCTTTGTTGAATTTAACAGGTGAGCAATTTCAAAAACTGCATTAGATTGATTTAACATTTTAAAAAATTAACTAATTTATTTTATTATTCCATGATACAGTTCCATAGTTCCCTTCCTCCTACCCTCAATTCCACACCCCCCTCCACTAATTTCTTCCCTCCCTCAATTTCCCCCACTTACTTCCCCCACGTCAACATAATAGTATAGTCCTTCACAATCACTTATAAGTCCATCATTCTGCTATTTAAGTGTACATTGTAGACAGGGACAATGGCAGAGAGTCCAGCATCCTATTGTCAAGATACATTCAACAGTTTCATTGGGAGTCCATCTTTGATTTGGAAGTAGAGGTGCACACTGCATTCTATCTTCACATCCGGATGTGATAGTCTCTACTACACAGTTACTATACATCCCCTTGAGTGAAGAGCCATAAAACAACAACATCAAACAACTGCGCAGCCTCTGGGGTGAGCCGGCAGACAGCCGACCAATCTCTCCCTCTCCTTTGCACTTGTCTTTCCAATACATAAATCTTAAAAAAAAAATCAAAATCACTATGAAAGAAAAGTAAATCAATCTACCTGGATCTGAATCGAAGGAGCTTCTAGCGCTCTGTAAACCATTGGCAGGACACTGTTTTTTATCTCGTCAGGAGGGGTTTTAGTTAGCAGCAAATCCATTTTTTGTAGGAAAATTAGCAAAATCTGTTAGGAAAAAAAAAGGAAACAATGCATGTAAGGCCAGTAAAGAGAATCAATATACAACAAAAGGTAGTTTCTTCAAAGGAGTAAGTGTTTTGACACTCACCATGTTGCTAGCCTGAAGGCATGGAAGACAAAAACACACAGATCAAGTTTTTTACACTTCTGGAAGCATTTTACTACTTAACATCTGCTTTCAAGTTAGATATGAAAATAAAGACTCATTTCCTAAAGCTCACGTATTTATGGTAATATACCACACACCCTCAAGTACCAAACCAACTAGAAAGCCATTGGGTTTAAAAAAACAAAAAAAAACCCTTAAAAGCAGTAAAATCAGATGTTCCAACAGGTAGATTCACTCACCCAACTTCTAGACAGTTTGAGAGCAAAAAAGGTACAGCACGAAAAGGACTAATTATCCCTTATCACTCATTTTTCAGCTAGCTGCCTCTGTATATCCAAATGATGAAGAATACATTCCTCTTCTATTCAGGAAATACACTAGTTCTGTCAAAGCTCTGCTAAAGATTCCTTCTGAGAAACTTTAACTGGGAACTGAGGATAAAACAATGCCCAAGGATGGAGGCAATTAAGAGGACAGATTCCTGCAGACCGTGTTTGGACTGTGGCATGCTTTCGGGAACATGTGGCTACGCCAAGTTTCCTTCCGGTCAACCCCAGAGTTTGCAGGAAGTCTGCTTCAAAGCTGACAGCTTCCTCATTTGCTCTTTCTCTCGTCCACAGGACTCTCTTCCCGAACGCTGTGCTCTGCTTCCTTCCTTTAAAGGGAGGGAATGTCAACAGCCATTCTATCAGATCACTGATGGTTAACTAACATGCTATTGCCACATCTGGGGCCAATATTGTGGCACCCTGGGTTAAACTTCAGTCTACGATGCTGGCACCCCCATATCAGAGTGCCAGTTTGAGCACTAGGTGCTCCACTTCTAATCGAGTCAGGCGCCCTAACATGCATGGAAAAGCTGTAGAATATGCTTCAAGCAGGTGGGCCCCTGCCACCCACATAGGAGACCAGTACAAACTTCATGGTCCCTGGCTTCAGCCTGGCCCAGCCATTTGAGGAGTGAACCAGCAGACAGAGATCTGACTGTCCCTCTCTCTCCATCACTCTGCCTTTTAAATAAATAAGTAAATAAATAAGTTCTGGGGGCCAGACACAGTAGCCTAGTGGTTAAAGTTCTCACCCAGGATCCCATATGGGCACCAGTTCTAATCCCAGCAGCCCTGCTTCCCATCCAGCTCCCTGCTTGTGGCCTGGGAAAGCAGCCAGGGATGACCCAAAGCCTTGGGACCCTGCTCCCACATAGAAGACCCAAAAGGTGCTCTGGGCTCTTGGCTTCAGATTGGCTCAGCTTCAGCCATTGCAGCCATTTGGGCAGTGAATCAGCAGTTGGAAGTTCTTCCTCTCTGTCTCTCCTCCTCTATATATATCTGACTTTCCAATAATAAAATAAATCTTAAAAAAAAAAAATTCTTGGGGAAGGATCATACTGTGGAAGAAATACAACAATTTTTACAATGTGTCAGAAAATTTCCATTTAGTCTCAACACCGCTTTCATTTTAGGAATGAGAATATTAAACCTTTAAAATGATGCTTTATCCAACTTATACTTCCAGTGAGAAGACAAAGCCCAGATTCAAATCCAGGTGAGTGAATCTAGCAAATAATATTCAAAGAATCTGAATGACAGACTGATACTTTTTCACTTACAACACACATGTACATTATTTTAGTTAGGGACCATTTCCCTTTTCTGATTAGAGTACTCTTGTTAGCAATAAAACAAACAGCTGACACAAGTTGTCTAAAACTTAAACACAAACATTTTGAATGTTTGTATCAAATTATCACTTTATACATACTCAAAGTAAGTACAATTAAAATGATTTTTTTAAAAAGATAACAAAAATACCTAAAAGTGCACAAAGAAAATATATATTTCCTCTCCTAAATCTAACTTTCAATAAAGTCAATGGCAATAGAAATTAGATGCAAAATTTCTTTGCAATTTATTTTCTAAGATGGAAACTTGTGGCAAGCCAGAATCTCCCTGCAAAATTTAATTATAATTTTAGAGATGGTTATTTCAAACATATACTGTGTGACTAATGAAAAGTCTCAGACACCTCACTTTTAAAATGTCACACACTGACATGCTGATTCCTTTTACTTTCAGTCACTCATCATTATGAGTAACAGTATATACATGTATAAAAAGTATCTGCAACATACCTGGATTGGCTCCTGTTGTTTAAACACAGGACCAAGTTCAGGTAAAATTAACTTCACATACTCTTCTTTGGTACATTCTTCAGCAATTAGTAGAACATTAGGCAAAACAAAAGGTACCATGTCAGGGTTTACAAATTCTGAGGTCAAACAAGGCAAAATCCTCTGCACGATGACACGCTGAAAAGCAGAAACATGTTTAGAAAGCTGAAATTAAGTTCAAGTGTTCTGTAATACTAGTTAAGTTGAAAACCTCCAATACTTTTAGCTAAGGTGATTATGTAACATATGCTTGAACTAGTACAAACTTGAGAGTAAAACGGGATGATGCTATTGCTAATCATGCCTGGTTGAAGAGTACAAATTGAAAATTTATCAGGAAAAGCGTGACATAGGGTCACTTCCCTAATTAATCTTCACTCAGGTTTCTTCTCTTGATTTCTGAATTACTTATGAACCATACCACACAATTTAGATATTATCTTGCGGTGTGATTCCTGTCAATTCTACCTACATCATCTTTAAGAGTCTTGACAGCAGACATTCTCTCTCTTCACATTTCCTCTTTACTCTTCATAGCATCTCAGTAAAGGACTAGATAAACTCTGAGTAGCTGAGAGGTTAAACTTCTTTGTGGACTACACAAATAAAGGTCCACTTGGGGCATTATGATGTGACACTTGTCAGTGCTGAAGGCACGCATTCTACAGATGTATCGGCTGCTCACTTCCCAACAGCCCCTTTTGAATGGCCTGGGAAAAGCAGAGGAAGACACTCCAAGTGCTGGGGTCATGAAGTTCAGGGCTTTGACCTGGCTCAGCATTGGCTGTTGCGACCACCTGGGGAATGAACCAGCACACGGAAGATCTCACTTTATCTAACTTTCAAATAGATAATTAAATCTGAAAAAAAAAAAACTCACTAAACTTTTTTGTACCTAATGATGTATTATTGCTTTAACAGAATACAGTAACTGAAAATAAAATTTAAATTCTAAAATGATGGTAACAATAAAGAAAGCTAATAAACTACATACCTTGGGAAGTTTTGATAGAACCTTCGGCAGTCCTTTGAAAAACTGTGATTTCTGGAGATTATCTCTTTGGAATAAAGTATCGAAATATTGTAGCGTCACTGCACCAACATCATCAAAGAAAGGAATCTAAAAATAGGGAAATAAGTTATTTTGATAAACAGTAAGTTAAAAGGATTCCCTCATATCTGAAACTGGCACATAAAATACGAATATGAAAAATATTCAGATACAGATAGCAAGATACTGAAGATTATCTTAACAGAATTTTGTAAAAATCAAAATAAGAAAATGATAAATTATTTTTCTCTTCAACTTTAAATCTGTGACTTGAAAACTAGCTGGAAAAAAGAATTTTGAGGAGTACAGTCCTAAAGTCTTGAAAGATTAAGTAAAATATTTTGAGGGCATTAAGAGTACCAGTTATTTATTAAAATTTACGCTTAAGAAAGGAAAATGGAGGGCACCGTGAGTCCAGAGTGTCTGCATACCCGGCAGAGCTCTATTTCAACTAGCAGCTTTCCATCACAGCAGCTACATACACAAACTACTTGGCTTTCTAATATGAAAAGAATACTTAATATGGTCAAAAACACAGACGCTCCAACAACTATGATATGTATGACCACATCTTGCTTTAGAGGAACTTTAATCTACTTCTCTACTTTGCTGTTCCTTCTAAGGAATACATGCGCACTCACCTTTGTCATCTGATCCGCATCTGGTCGCACAGTCGGAGTTACATTTAGCAGTAGTTTCACATGTTCACGGACCTCCTCTGGTATACTCGTAAGTGAACTAGATCCTAAGCGACTCAACTAGTCAAGAGAGTGATAATGTCACATGTGAATAGAAAATACGCAGAAAGAATGCACTTACATTCAGTCTTAATAAGAAATCTTCAAAAATGTACTTAGCATATTTATAAGCTGAACAAATTACTAATTTGACTGTCCTGACACAATTAAAACATTTATCTTTCATATGCAAATTGTTTCTAGTCCTAAAATGTCCAAAACTTTAAACCATACTCCAATATTCATGTAAATGCCTTTTTAAGTGTATAGTAACAAATTATAGTGACTATGTAAACTTAAAATGAGACACACATTTTATTTCATTTCTGGAGTTTTCTAAACACATTTTAAACAAAAATCAAAACAACATTTACTACATTTTTAATGCAAGAAAATATTTACAGGCAAATACCTGGTCCAATTGCCTACTGAAACTCTTGTAAATGTCTTGTTTGTTGACTTCAAATATAGGTTTTCCTTTATTAAATACAGCGTAGATGACAGTTCCTAAAGAATACATGTCACTGGCTGTTTCACAGCTCACAGAAAGGATGTATTCAGGAGCCAAATATTCAGGATTCGGAAGACACAGCGATGGCAAATTTGGATCCCATTCTTTACACGGAAATTTTGGCTATAACAATATCAAAAAGAGATTATATGTATTAAATATTTTAAATTAAAGCAAACCACTGAATTTACATTCAGAGGTGGTTAGAGTGACTGAAGGTGCTGTCTGGGATGCTGGAATCCCAGAGTGGAGTGTTGGCTTTGAATCCTTGACCCACTCCTGATGGCACACCCTGGCTGGCAGGTGATGGCTTCTGTAGCTGGGGTATTGCCATTCACAAGGGAGACCTGCTCTGAGTTCCCAGTGCCTGGTTTTGGCCTAGCCCTGCCCCAGCTGTTGAGGGCATTTAGAGAGTGAGCCAGTGGATGGAGATCTAGCCTCTCTCTCTCATGCTCTCTCTCCTTCTCTGACTCTCTCCCTCCTTACCCTGCTCCCTCATCTCTCTGCCTGCAAATAAATAAAACACAATTAAAAATTTGTAAAATGCACACGTATCAGGTTTATAATTCCCTGATCCATTCTAGACATAACAACAAATTTCCACGGTTTTAAAAAAATATTAGAAGACTAACGTATCCATTACCTCTTGTTCGGAGGGATTGGTTGATGATACACAAAAATCAAAACCCATTATTTTCCAGGCTCCATTTTTATTTAAAATGATATTTTCAGGAGTAATATTTCCATGAACCATCTTCACACTGCTATGTAAAAATGACAAACCTTCAGAAACCTGTAAACATGGAAAAAAAAGGTATCTTTACATTAAATAAAACTTTTCAATTACAATCTCTCACAAAAATCATATTATTGCTGATTTTCCCAAGAATTTTGCATATCAACCAAAACTCAAATTTCATCATAAGTTCAAAAGTATGTATCTTCTCAATTGCCATAATTCAAGCATTAGTGGAGAAAACTGTTTTAAATTAGAGTAAGACTATTATAAAGTTTTGCTCTACACATACATAAGCAAAAGAAAACAATAAAAGCACCTTTTGCTGTCCAAATTTATTTAGAGTTTGAAAAGCAAGGGAATCTCTTTTAGTGTTACAGATTTGTGGGATGTTTGTATTTTTATACATTTACATCCTATAGTAATTTTTAATCTTTTTGAACAGCATTGTGCTCAGTTTTCAGATATTCAAATGACCAAGGTTCACTTTCTCTCACATCAGATTAATATTTGATCTTTTTGTATGTTGTGCTTGAGTCTATCAAAGAATCTGTAAACTTAAGCTGAAGGCTGGATTTCTCTTTCTAGGAAATGGTAAACTTCAGTCAGTTAATAATGCCTAACTTCCAGAATGCTGCTCTCCTTGGTTTTTCTCCAACTCCTCTAGTCATTGTTTGTCTTTCTGGCTCCTCCTCTTACTTCTTACACTCAATGTTTGGAGATCAGCAATTTTCCATTTCTTTTGATTTTCTCAGTTATTATGTATATGCTGATCACACCCCAAATCTCCAGGATGAGTTCCTGCTCTGAAGTCTAGCCTGGATCATCAGCCTTCCTGAGTTCACTTCCCGTCTATGTTTTGTTAAGTATCTAAATGTTAAAGGAATTCCAAACTGAGCTTCCTCCAGAATTAACTTCTCTTCTCCATCACTGCTTTCCCCAATCGGTTAAGTGGTACTTCATTTGGTCTGGCAGCTTAAAACAAAAAAATCTTTGAACTGTACCATACTCTTTTTTTTTTTTTCTTTTTTAATACAAGAAATCCTTGATACACCCATTGTTAAAACTCATTTAAATTCCATCTTGTCTTACTCCCTGGATGAACATCCTGTCTGGCCCAGAATAAAGAAGCAACCACCTAACTCACCTCTATTTCTGCTCAAAATTTTCATGACAGCAATTGGAGTCATTTGTTTAAAACAACATAGCCGTCATCAGTTCACTGTCCTTAATGCTGCCAAAGGCCTTCCTTCTTTTCTCAGTAAAACCTTTTTTTTTTTTTTAAATTTCAGGGCCTAACAGGACACAGCAACTCATTAGCTCTCCAGTCTTGCTCCCTACTGCTCATCCTCTTGCTAATTTGAATCAACCAAAAACAACTTTAAAGAAAAAAAGCTTTTATACATGTTAAAGAAAAGCGCATACCTGAAGCAAGCCATATTTGGTTTCTACATCATAAAGTTTATAATCCTTCATGTCCGTTGATACGGTGGAAGGAAGGTTTTCCAAGTTACCAAGGACATTGGCTAGACTGGCAAAAACTGGTTCTGTACAAAATGCCAAACAATCTCTGTTTTTAAAAAAGAGAAATCATTAACTACTTATTATCTATTTCTTTACACATCGTCCAAATCAAATATATTTAAAATACTAACTGTCCCATTAAACTGCCAACAAGAAGGAAGACTTTTATATTTGTTAATTTCAGCGTAAGTAACAGTACACTTAAACCAACAGGTCAGGAGGCTTTGTTTAGCAATTCTATTAGATGAATCACTCAGGCTTTCAAACTGTTGTAAATGGTGATACATTTTTTTAAGGTTTAGAAAGTCAACACATTAAAAAGCTCTGCTTTTTCAAGTGACTGACATCATTTATGGGGAAACCAATGGGAAATAATTTAAAATATTGTTGTATTTCAATCATGACACTGATTTCTCAGGCTGTAATTTTCAGAAAGTGTTCAAAGGAACTTGTAGATTCCCCACAGAGCTGACTAGATGAGGGAGGAAGGACAGGGCACAGCTGCACATGCCCCATTCCCATTTCAAGCAAAGCAGCTTTGATCTATTTTACAAATCATTTTGAAAGGTGTCCACAAGTCTTTAGATTGTTAGAATTATTACTCTGTTGTACAGCATTAAAAGATCTACAAATGCAGAAAATGTTATATATTGACATTCAATAGCCTTACAGAATAATGATCAAGATGTTCAGGCTTGGAAGACAGAGAGGTGCCTAACTCTCAACATCTCTACTCCCTGTTTTGGCAACTCTGGATTCTACTGCAGGGCCTCACTGTGACCATCTGTAGAATACCCAATCCACCTAGAAACATTATGGTAATGAGTGTGTGAGATAGTCACGCAAAATACACAGAATATAAGGACAACAAATGTTAATGTTTACCTCTTTAACGATCAAGTGCTTAGGGCCCAAAAACTGACAATGAAGAAAACTACAAGCTGAAACAATAACAAAATCAAGCCACAGGGCCTGGATACTACTGTTTATTGGCAGTTTATAACCTCTGCTTCCCATCTGTGCATGATATTTCAGAAACATTTCTTCTGCCTTAAACTCATGAAAACACAGACAGAAGCTGGAAACAAACGAGACACATACAGGACTTCCCTGGCTGAAGCAGAGAAAGGATGCAACTGTCCTGCCTGCTCGCTCACCTTCAGCGATGCTACCTTCAACTCCCAGCACGCAGTTCCTTAACACAGTGCTTTAACTGTCATGGAGAAAAATGGCTCAGATATTTTTGTCTTCCTCGCACTTTCCTATGATTCCAACACTCACTTATTTTAGTAACTCTGATTTTTTGATCCTCTATCTTGACCCCACAATCATTTTTAGACATGTCAATATCCAAATAATTACGCTTCAAAGTCTAAGGTCTTCTAATCTTTCCAAATACCAATTTCTGTTACAATTACAAACAGTCACATATGAGAAGGGCCATATTTTCTCAAAGGCAACCTCCTACAACCTTAGCTACTTTCCAGTTGTTTACTCCTGAACTTTCACTTTCATGTTTGCTTATTTTCATTTACCTCAAAGGCACAGCAACAGAGACAGACATACAGTGAGAGAGAGAGATTCATCCACTTGGTCCTGAATGGTGCGACAACCAAGGCTGGCTCACTTCCTAAATGCCTACAATAGTTAGGACCAGGGGAGGTCATAGAGTCCAGAACGCTCTGTGTCTCCCAGTGAGCAGCAGCAAGGACCCAGGCACTCTGCCACCTTCTGCCATTTCTCCCAGGGTACACATCAGCAGCAGCCAGAACTCAAAGCAGAGATGGAACTCAAAGCCGGGACAGACTCGTGTGGTTTGGACAGACCAAGCAGCTCCTTAAACCCCTGCACCAAAAGATCATTCCCTCATATTTAAATTAGTATAAAAGAAGCTAATATTCTGGTGCTTCTCCCATAAGACAATTACAATGTAACCATTCACTGTAAGTTACAGACACAATGTAAAATATATGTGAGGTGACTTTACTGTCTTGAATAAAACACTCCGGAGCAAACAGCAGTCAGGAGAGTGCAGTTAACTGTGGCCAACCAGTCGACTTTGGGATTTAGAAAGCACAACGAGGACAGGCATCTGCCACAGCAGTGAACACCCTGCTTGGGACGCCCAAGCCCTTGGCCGAGCGCTGGCTCTGCTTCTAACTCCAGCCTCCTGCTAACACGCACACTCAGAGGCAGCACATGAGGGCTCACTCATCCAGGTCTGTGTGGGATTCACTTCCTGCTTCCTGATGTTGACCCCACTCACACTCCTGGCTACTGTGAGCATTTGGAAAGTGAACCAGTGGCTGGGGAAATTTCTTCTCTTTCAAATAAAATAAAATAAGATAAAATCATTTTAGAAGGAGGGCCCGGCGCGGTGGCGCAAGTGGTTAAAGGTCCTCGCCTTGCACGCCCGGGATCCCATATGGGCGCCGGTTCTAATCCCGGCAGCCCCGCTTCCCTTCCAGCTCCCTGCCTGTGGCCTGGGAAAGCAGTCGAGGACAGCCCAAAGCTTTGGGACCCTGCACCCGCGTGGGAGACCCGGAAGAGGCTCCTGGCTTCGGATCGGCATAGTATCGGCCCGTTGCGCTCACTTGGGGAGTGAATCATCGGACGGAAGACCTTCCTCTCTGTCTCTCCTCTCTGTAAATCCGCCTTTCCAATGAAAAAATAATAAAAATAAATCTTTAAAAAAAAAAAAAAAAAAAAAAAAAAAATCATTTTAGAAGGGTGCCCAGTACTGAGTGTTATAATATAAGAGATAGCTACTTTAAGTTTTCAGGGTGTACTCACAAAAAGGAGAAATTTAAAATATCTTACAGTAGTAGAAGACATAAGCATATTTCTGAATAGGTAAGGTAAGGTATGGTATCAAAAAAAAAAAGAAAGAAAGAAAAAAGAAGCCTCAGGATGGGGTGATGAATTCGAGGCGACACTCAAAGCCCGCCCCCCACCAGTTTAAGAACATCTCTGCTGTTCTCTTCCACAATTGAGAAACGCCAGGAAGTGAAACAAGATAAAGTACTCAGTATAGTGTTTGACATGATGTAGATGTCCTGAAAGAATCCCCTGACTTTAAGAGGGTGGTGGCCAAGGGGCTAAGAAAGGCATACAGGAGAGTAAAGAGCAGGTACTGAAGATCACAAGTTACTGACTTAATAAAGTTTATAAAATATGTGAAGTTCATAAAATGTGTAGTATGAAAAAATGGATTTCAAAATTTTTGTACCAAACTAAAATTATTTTTAAAATCAGTTATTAAACAACTTTCTGAAGTACCCTCCTTGATAAAAGCACATCTGTAAAGGACTTTTGAATTGACAGCCAGAAATCGAATCAGCTAAAGAGAAAAAAAAAAAATCTGGGGTTATTTTGTGCAGAAGGTTTAAAAACCTAGGGTGTCTAAAGGAGTTGGAGACAATTAAACAGACACATAGGAAATGTGAAGAAAATTATAACATTTCAAAAAGAGACACAAAGACAATGCAAATCAATTTTAAGAAAATGATCGTAAGTATTTAACATACGGCTGGTAAGAAGTTTTCACTGGCAATATACGTCAGAGTTATTTTAAAACTATTATTCAGGAAATATCACATCTGAATTTCGTAAGCATTTACCTTGACTCCTCTAAAGGATGCTGTACAGTAAGCAGCCGAGGATGCCGCAGCCGAGTTAGCTGCTGGACTCCTCGCTTCAGAGAATCGATGATCTGATCCTTTTCAAATTTTTGGTACTTGTCAATCAGCTTTTTATCAAAGACAAAAACAGCCACTTCCTATTAAAGGAACAAAATTAAGGTTGAGTTTCACTTTAGTCTACAAATAGAAATCATTATAAACCCATGCCACAGAAAATTTCAGCACCATTGTGACATTTTCCTGAAATAAAAAACTTGGTATCCTAGTGATCAGTAACCCTATAAAAGCTTTTTGAAAGGGAAGTAGTAAAGTTAGGAAGCACTTACTTATAAAAACTAATATGCAAACAATCTTTGACATATGAATAAGCCCTACTCTCCACACTATCTCCTCTATCCACAACTTGCTATGGAGTGGAATAAAGAATGGTTACTAGTACATAAAACTGGTCCCCTACCATCTCTCTCTGAAGGCATTCACAGCTTATTCCCACTACGAAATGCACAAACCATCTTACCATCACTCTCCGTTATTACAGGTAAAATATATTACCCCGTTCCACCATCTTAATAAATCAACTAACAAATAATCCTTCTGAGAGGTGGCAAATAGCCTTACTGATGGGTGACAACCTATACGTTATTCCTAATGATGTTATGTGGCATTATTATGTGATACATTATTAGGAAAACCTTACAGGATCAGTGAAGAACAAATAACAAGTGCATATGAAAGGAACTTATCACAATACCTGATACAGTATAAACATTCACTAAATGCTAGCTATCAGTGTCATGGCATTGATTAACAACAATGCTCTATATTTTGTTATTTTTCCGTTACTGGTAACAGCGTTCTGTGATCCTAAATTGAGAAATGATACATACAAGACCAATAGTCATGAAGTATCTTCAAAGGAGACTCATTAGACTGTCCATTTCTAGGTCTTTGAACATTAACACATTAGGCTAAACAAAGTGTTGTAACACAGACCTTATTGCACTCCTGTGTTACACAGAGACAACAATCAGCAACATATAGCAGTGTGGCATGCTTCAAAGCCCAGTTGTCAATTACACAAACCTAAATTGGAATCCCACTTTTGCCACTTATTGTTCACTTAAAACCATCATATTCACACCAGAGTAATGAAAGGCATAGGAAAATGAATGAAAATGCTGTAATACACTCAACTGGTGAAACTCAGGCACTAGTCTACTAGAGAATTTGACAAATAAAGACATTCCCTAGTTAACTATTTATAGAAATAACACTAGATAACTTTGTGTCATTTATATGCCTAGATATATTTTAGGGATTGAAACTTCATAACTCAATAAATTTTAAAGTTTAACAGGAAGGGGAGAATGGAATATTCTTAATTTGCATAACCTAAATAAACCTTCCATTCAGAATACCTAGGTTTAAAAGAAATGTAACAATGCTGTCAGGGATGCAGATAAACTTGGTGGAAGTATTCATTGGTATAAGCCTCTGGGAAAACTGTTTAGCATTTAACACAGCCACAAAAATTTACCAACTCCATATCTATTTGATCTGACACATACAACAACAGTTCATGCTCTCATAAGAAATGTTCATAACAGCACGCTATGAATAAATGAAAGAGAAAAAAAAACACTTGTTACACTCAATCATGAAGATGCTAAGGAGCCAAACAACAGCACACCATGTAATTTCATTTCAATACAGCTTAGAAACAGGTCAAATTATTCTACAGTGTTAAAGGACAGGATTGTGGTTACTGCTGAAGAAATGGGAGGTAAGAGTAAGAAGTAGAAACAGACTTCCGTTACTAGTGATGTGTTATTTCTTGATCAGAATGTTAGTTACATGGGTGTATTCCCTGTGGATATTCATCAGGTTGTCACTCACAACACGGGAGCCTGCAGAGGACACCTGCCATAACAGGACAGAAGACAAAACAAACTGATCAACTAGCCCAGCCAAGAGTTGGCAGTGAATCCATGGGCAATGGAGACTGTAAGGTGGACTGTGTCAGTCAATGGAGTCTGGAGAGATCTCACTGTGATTGGAGTGGCAAGATCGGCAGCAATACAGAACTGCTGAACTATCAAAACCACTCGAGCAAGAATCTCTGAGCAGGGCCCACACTGGGCACCCTGGGATGGTTGGGAGGCTGGGTGGTGCTTCTCTTCTTTATCTTTCCCCACTACCCAGATACAGGAAGGAAAAACAAGAATGTCAAAACAAAGGTCTTACCCACTTTCCTCTAGCCCTCAACCCTTTACTCTCTAATCAAATAGGTAAAAATTACCAAAAATAAAATTTAGATAATTAAAAAATTAAAAAGAGAAATTCATGGTATTTAATATTTAAAATATATATGTATATATAAAACACTAATGATCCCCCCATATTTTTCGGAACCAGAGTATAAAACAACAACTATTCAAACCACTCTTCACTAAAAGGAAAGTTAGTTTCAAAATAACTATGTAACAAGTATATCCTAAGACACATTAAAGACTGTATTCCACAATTGATATCCCAAGAGTAAAAAAACATCAGCTTTATCACAAAATAGTTACAACGGTCTACTTTTTTAAAGGCTATAGAAAAAAGAAAGCCAAGAATGCAATAAATAAGAAATTCAATGTTGAAAAACAGAACTGGGTATATTGTCAATAATTTACTGATGGATATGAAAGGAAACTTAAGGGTCATGACAAATTTTAATAAGATATGTACTTTGCTAATTATTTCTAATAAAGTCAAATTTGCTCATCTGACATGTTTACTTTGCTAAACAAACAAAACGAGATTGCAAGATGTTATGGACAGTGTATCTCTGACCATGATATTCAGGACATTTTCACAGCATTTCTCTTTGATATCCTAAGAGGAAATGAGAACTCAAGAGCCGTGTAAGAATCCATCAAAAACCATCTAGCATTTCTTAACATAAAAGTGCATACATGCACTACATACAACTTAGGATGTTTTTTTTTTTTTTTCCTACTGGACTCTGATTAACTCACCTGCTTTGTTGATTTCTTTGTGCCGTTAAAAATCTTCCAAGCCAGCCCATTACCACCACTGGCAATGTGTCGACCAACATCAAATTCCCTGGTGACAGGATTTCCCATTACAGCACTGGTGACATCAGCTGTGACTTTTGTAACAGTACTCTTCAGTTTATTAAGCATGGACTCCATGGCTGCAATAGGAGGTGCTTCCAGTTACCTGGAAACACAGGAAGACGGGGGAAAACCAGTCATCTTTATTTGTATGAACATTTATGTTTAATTTAGCATAGAAAGCTTACTATCCCCACACAATGACCAAAACACCAGCATAAAAATTACAAGTTGTTTTTATCTTCAAAGAAGCCAATACACTTGAGTATAGATTTAATTCTCTCAGGCAAGAACGGCATATTCACAGCTGCCTCTAATATGAAGGAAGAGAATGAATGCTATTCAGCTGCATAACATTAATCCTTTAACGTGTTTTTAAGGTTTTAGAACTTCTAAGTAAAATTTCACACTAGAAATAACACAAAACTCAAAAGAAGCTAATGCTATAAAAGAAGCAATACTTTCACATTTTTTTAAATAATAATTTAACTATGAAATCACCTAAGACTATTTACTAAGAAAAATATTGATGGATAAGGCACAATATACAGCAGTTGATACATTATTATATGCGGGACCAGCATTGTGGTGTTAACAGATCAAGCTACCACTTGCAACACTGCCATCACATGTGGGCTGTTGTTTGAGTTCTAGCTGCTCCACTTCTGACACAGCTCCGAGACAGTGTGCCTGGGAGAGCAACGGGAGAGATGGTCCAAGTGTCTGGGTCCCGGTACCCATGCGGGAGACCGAGATGGAGCTCGTGGCTTTCGGCCTCAGCTGGGCTCAGTCAGGCTGTGCAGCCATGTGGGGAGAGAAACAGCAGATCAAACATCTCTCTCTACTTCTCCCTCTCCTCCTCTGCAACTCTGCCTTTGAAATAAATGAATCTTTAAAATTTAGTAGAAGAGAAAAAAAAACCTTCAAAAACCAAAGCAAAAGAAATGTCAGAAAAACAGACTCTGAGAGAACTTGTTATCAACAGATAATCACTTCAAACAATACCAAAGAAAGTTCCTTAAAAAAAAAAAAAAAAAAAAAAAGACATGTATTATTTGAAAGGCGGAGTTACAGAGAGGAAAAGACAGAGATTTCACCCACTAGTTCACTCCCCAGATGGCTGCAGCAGCCCGGGCCGGGCTGGGCTGGGTAGAGCCAGGAGCGTGGAACTGCACCCACACCTCCCATGGGAGTGACAGCAGCCACAGCACTTGGCCATCCTCTGGACTGGACAGAAACCAGCACCCACATGCCACAACACTGGCTGCCAAGAAAGTTCTTCAAGCAGAAACAAAAAGATGGAAAGTGTCATGTACAAAAGAAATGAAGTACATAAAAGGATTTCTCTGAAAAATATCTAAAAGACAGCTGGCGAGGCCAGCATTATGGCACAGAGCATTATTAAACTGCTGCCTGCAATGCTGGTATCCCACATCGGAGGGGCGGGTCACTGCTGCTCTGCTTCAGTCCAGCTCCCCGCTGCTGTGCCAGGGAAGACAATGGAAGAGGGCCCAAGTGGACAGAGTTCATGCTCTGGGTTTCTGCTGGACTCACACGTGGCCGATGTGAGCACCTGGCGATGAAGCACTGGACGGAACACCTGCCTTGTCCGCTGATCATAAGCCAACAGACCTTTCCTTTTTTCTTGTAAAAAACAGATGATTTGAAGAAAAAAGAATAGAAACGCCTCATGTTTACAATATGGAAGTAAGAAACATGACAAAACAAAGGACAGTAGGAAACAAAAGGGTTTTCTTAAAGATTCCTACCTTATATGTGATACAGTGTAACAATATTTGAAAGCAAATTATACATTGTAAATCCTAGAACAATTAAAATAATAAACAATTATAACTAAAAAGGCAATAGTAGAGATAAAACAGAACCATAAAATGAACTGATAAATACAAAAAGAAACAAGAACAAAGAACAAATGTGACAAATGGAAAACCAACAGTTAAAAGGCTGACCTAGGGTCCAGTGTAAAGGTTCAACTGGGTAAGCCTGCACCTGCAAGAGACAGTATCCTATATGGGCACTGGTTTGTGTCCTGGCTGCTCCTTTTCAGTCCAGCTCCTTGGTTGCAGCATGGAAAAGCAACGGAAGGTGACCCAAAGCCTTGGGACCCTGCACCCTTGGGAGACCTGGAAGAGGCTCCTAACTGCTCAGCTTGTCAGCTCTGGCCATGGCGGCTATTTAGGAAGTGAACCAACACACAAGATCTTACTCTCTTGGACTCTCCTTCTCTCTATCAATCTGCCTTAAAATAAAAATATCTTTTTCATTAAGAAAGATGGTTGACACAGACACCATATCAATAATTATGCGATATATAAGCAGAGATGTCAAACTGTATAAAACAGCAAGCCGTAACTTTATGCTGCCTATAAAAAACAAATTTAAAAACCCTCATTTAAAAACATGAAGACACAAGCAAAAGTATATGAAAACATGCCAAGTAGGAGTGGCCATGCTGATAACAGAAGAGATTTCAACACAAAAGACATTTCATAGTGGTAACACTGGCAATTACCCAGAAGATACAATTACAATGTGTATTTATGCAATAAGACAGCTGCAAAATAAACCCAACAAAAACTGACAGAAGAAACAAATAACTTCTCCAAAAGAAAGGTAGACCAAGTAGAAAGAAAATCAGTTAGAATATAATCGCATCAGCAATACTATCAACTAACCTGATGTAAAACACTTAATATCAGAGAATTGTTCTTTATACATACATGTCAAACTCATTAAAATAGAATATACTTTGGGCTACAAAACAAATCTGAAAATATCTAATGCTACTGAAAAACAAAAGAAGCCAAGATCTCTTTTAAAAAAAAATCAATGAAATTAGTAAAATTCCAGCCATACTTTTCAGGAAAATTGAAAAGGAAGTAAACACAAGTAACCAGCAACAAAAATAGAACACAGCGTTGGTGGTATAGTGGTGAGCACGGCTGCCTTCCAAAAATAGGACAAAATCCTATGGATTTTAATCCTATATAAGTCCTACAGACTCTATGAATAAGGTATTTTTTCATATCAAACGATTATGGAAGAAATGATACCACAACCATACAACTTATTCCAGAAAACAGAATAGCTTCCATTTCGTGCTAAGTAGCCAATGTTACCTTGACATCAACAGGTAACCAAGTAATACTATAACAGAACAATCATATAATCATACTGACACTCCCTATTAACATGTAAAAAATTTAACACAACATTAGCATGTTAAATACAACCCCACAAACGAGTGGTTCACTTAAAAATGCAGTTTTCTAACATTAGCAAACAAAATCCATACAATTGAACTGAAAAAAATTTTTCAGAACACACAGGGATCAAAAAATACATAATATTCAGCATTCATTCACAACAAAAACTGTCCACACAATAAGAACAGAAACGGTGGGCCTGATAAATGGCTTCTTCAAGTATCTACATCTAATCCCATATTAAAAGATTTTGACCACATTCTACTTAAGTTTGGAAAGCAATATCCATTCTTGCCACTTCAATATTCCAATGTATGTAAGGTCAAAGCAATAAAAGCAGGAAAAGAAGTTATGCAGGTTAAGAAATAAAGCGCTTTTCTCCTGATTAACATGATTACAATATATAACATCCAAAGGAATCTCCGAAGAAGTTACCAGAACTATCACATGAGTTTAACAAGATGGCAGAATGAAAAACAACTCATTTTTTTAACACATGGTATTTCAAAATACTACATACAAATAAACAATGAAATTGTAATACTGTGTTTCTGAGGTGTCTAATCCCACATAGAATGCCTAGGTTCCAGTCTCAATTCCAATTTCAATTCTAGCTTCTTGCCAATGCACTCTGGGAGGCAGTGAATGATGGCAGAGTAGCTGAGTCTCTGCCACCCACTAGGGAGATCCAAATGCAGTTCTAGAATCCTGGCTTCAACCTGGCCCACGCTGCTTACTGAAGGTATTTGGGAACTGAACCAGAGGATGGAAAATCTTCCTGCCTCTCTTTGAAATAATTAAAAATGAAAATTTAAAAACAACATATTTTTAAAGTTCATAGATATTCCTATGTGAAATACCAATGGATAAAGATATTCAAGAATATTCAAGAATATCAAAATATCAAGAATATCAAAATACCAAAACAAAAGAAAAATTGCTAAGAGACTGAAAAAAAAAACCCCTAAATAGATGGAAAGATAAATTGTGATAATTAGAAAATTCAGTGTTTTTAAGGCATCAGTTTCCCCCCTCCATCAACCCACAGGTTCACTGTAATTCTGTTAGAACCCCAGCAGGCATCTGTAGAGACAAATAGATTCTTAAAATACTATGCTGAAAAAGCATCCGTAGCCTTCATTAGTTTGTCTAAGGGATTCATGGCACAAAATAAGTTGAAAAACCCTTTCACAACATAATCTTCAACCTCATGTGTACTCTTTCCTAACGGTAATTTGCTTCAGAACAAGTCTGTGCTCTGAAGATTTTCCTTAATCATTTCTTTCTTCACAGCCTTTCCCCAGGTGACTAAAAAATGCATTTCTCTTAGTCATCTCCGTCTTATTACAGGGCATTTCCGCGAGTCAAAAAAATCTTTGCAAAGAAAAGGGCATGAAGCTAGATGATGCATTAATTCTGAGAGAACAGTCCTGAAGAGTAAAGCAAAAAGGTAAGAAAGAATAAACAAGGCTGTGTTTCACTTCTTCCCGGAAGATGTTAACAGATCTCATTCTATCAGAGAATTACAATTAAGAATATGTTTGGGGGCCCGGCGTGGTGGCGCAGAGGTTAAGGTCCTTGCCTTGCACGCCCGGGATCCCATATGGGCGCCGGTTCTATCCCAGCAGCCCCTCTTCCCTTCCAGCTCCCTGCCTGTGGCCTGGGAAAGCAGTCGAGGACGGCCCAAAGCCTTGGGACCCTGCACCCACGTGGGAGACCCGGAAGAGGCTCCTGGCTTTGGATCGGCATATCATCGGCCGTTGGGCTCACTTGGGGAGTGAATCATCGGACGGAAGATCTTCCTCTGTCTCTCCTGTCTGTATGTCCGCCTTTCCAATAAGAAAATAATAAAAATAAATCTTTAAAAAAAAAAGATAAG